TCTTGCCAGAAGAAACGATTTAGAAGCTGTGCTCATTGTCCCATTCGATTCTTACTGAAGAATCACTAGTTCTTGGTGAAGAACTACTTACTGATCCTGCTTCACCCAAAGTTGTGTCATATTCAGTGGGGTACTCTCTTTGGGTGTGAACACCTATGTTGGGAAGAGCATTCTTGTGTGGATTCCATATCAGGTATATCCCTCTCTTAACTTGGTTTCAAATTTGGTTTGGTTTGGTTTGGTTACAAGAATGAACCTTGAAAATGCAGTTTTCTAAATTGGGAATAGGATTCCCGGATGGGAGTAAAGAAATTTTTGAAATTTCGCCCAACCTTCCCGCAAGGTTCGGCCATCCATATGATGAATCTCCCATCCCTTCAATCCACATGAAAAACAGATAATTAAAAAAAATAATAATAAATAAAAAACAGGTAGGGTTCAACAACAAGAATCCCTATTTGTCAACCCAACCAGGAATCTTGCATCCACATTGATTCTGTGTTTAAATTTAATTACCCAACTTGAATGTAACACTCTTTTAAGTATTTTTTTCTAACTTCCTAAGATTTTAGGAGGGGCAGCCATTTTAAATTTTATTAACCATTATGAAAAGAAAAAAAAAATCCATCATTCAATTTGAAATTACAGCTAAAATCCATCATCCAATTTGAAGTTGTTTAAGCTCACCTAAGATACTCTGCAAATATGTAGACGCTTGAAACCTCTCTCCATCAATGCCCTTATTCATAGTTGTACTTCTCTTAATCTCACAAAGAATGTAAATAGTATGCCAAGGGTTAGTATAAATTGGCTATGAAATTCAATTTTCTCAATTGTGAAAATTTTAATCTTTTAAAGAAAATTTCATATATTAAAATTGTACTTAAATTTTCTCTTTTTTTTTTATTTCCCTATCGACTAATTAGTACTCGATAATTCCATATCCTCATCTAGCTTTCCTTAACCCTATTTCCACCGGAGGTTTAGCAAACAAGCTTTTGTCTGTAGAAATTGTTGCAACATAACTCAAATGTGAGGGAAAAAGTGATAAAATGTAAAATTATATCTTGTAAGACATGAACTAATGAAAAATAAATACATCATGTGATGTGATGTAACTCCTTTATCATGTAACATGCCCTAAAGATTTTCAAATTGCACCTTAATTAGTCTTTTTATCTCTATAAAATCTAGAAGCTTTCCAACTAATACTAACATTTTAGTTTATAAATATAAAATTTGCACACAGCTATAGTGGGTCTAATGTAACAACTGTAACATTACAGTTGAAAAGAGGAAAGGTAAGAATTGGGATCTGCTGTGCTGGGGGCCATGCACATTCATCCAACCGTAGATTGGAATTGGAACCACCTCTCCTCTCTTATATACTTTATAATTATCGCCGATTCACATCCGGAAGCGGAAGGTAGGTTGTCTTTAATAGCTAGCTAGCTTAGCTTGGTGCTAATATAACTGCAAGTATGGGAAACGTGTATTTGTACTCTTGGTATTTAAACTTAACAGGTAATAATAATAATAATAATAATAATAATAATAATAATAATAATAATAATAATAATAATAATAATAACCAGATATGCTGATCTTTAGCAACAGCCCATTTTGCTAAAAATGGAAACTTTTCCTGTTAAAACGACAAAAACAAAAGAAGTAAGGGTCGCGATTCATCAATTAACTAGTAAATAATAGCTAATGTACCCTCTTTCTTTATCAAAAAGAAGAAGTTGATATTGATGAATGATTTTACGTGGCCGCTCTAGCAATTAATCCATCATTCAATGCTTCTGCTCTTAATTGCACCAGTATTTCAACAACCAAGTAAGTAGTTAGAGTTGTTGAAATACCGGTGCATTAATGAATTGTATCTGCTGTAAATCATAGCTTTTTGGATCTCACACACGATACAAATTTTTAGGTCATGTTTGGATAAGCTTTTGGATTCAAGCTTTTAAAGTAAAACCCAAACGCACAACGCCCTAATTTTAGGTTTTGTCCCTTGGGGTTCTAATTAAGTTCTAGTTTCTAAAAGCTAACTCTTATCAAAGTCTCAAAACATTTCTTTTTTTTTTTTTTTTGCCTCAATTTTGTTTTTCACACAGCAAAAAGCCATAAACTTATGCTTTTGAGCTTAATTTACAAGTGTTTGGTAAGAATTGCTTTTAAAAACATTACATCTAAAGCCAAAACACTTTTAAGCCCCAAACACAAGCTTTGTCTTTCGGAAACAAATTATGGTTGCCGACTGGCCATGGAAGCTGTCGGGTATTTCGGCCAGCATCTTGTGGTTTTGTTATGAGTTGGGTGGGGGAATTTAAGAGGAATGGGCATGGAAGAATATAGAAGGGATCCTCTTGGAAAGGCTTGATTATTTCTGGTTTTGGTTCCAAGTGAGCTAGACAAGTAACAAATAAATTTCACAAATTTTGTATACAACTCTCTCGACTTCTGTTTCTTTCTTATTTCCTATCAAAACTAAACACAGTGTAAGTTGGTTGTCAACTAAGATTCGTCCTTGTAATAGGAAGGATACAGTTGGTTAATTAAAGGGGAGGGGTGCTCTTTATCTCGTCTGGCGTGTATGAATCTATTGGGTCCTACTGTGGTGTGGTTGAAACCACATGACTTGAATCATACCACACTCTATAATTATTCTATTTCTGTTCTGTGGTGTGGATGTATTATCAGTACAGTGCCCCTTCAGAGCCGCCCATCCTTCTGCCATGTGATATGTGAACTGGGCATTTTCCTAGTTGCTGAGCTTTCGCTGCAATAAAAACGCCATGAATATCCCTTAGAATGATTCCTATAGCTGCATTTCTCATCCCCAACTGATGCATCAAAGTTGATTATACAATTTTCTACATTCCAATCTCTTCAATAATTTCTCCTTTTGGCACAAGTTTCTTTTGGTAGAATCATGGTTTTTAAAACTAACCCGGTGATCAAACCGGTTAGGGGTCCAGTTATCAGGTCGAACGGTCTGATTGTTCGAACCGAATATTCGGCCCGTTCTGACAGAAAAATAAAAAAATTCAAAAAAATAAAAAACGGTCAAAACCGTTCGAGTGGTTTGAACGGTGAACCACCCGGTTCAATGGTTTGCTGATCAAAATCGACGGTTTTGAAGAAAATAGAACTGGTCAGATGACCGGTTCCTGGTTTTTCTGGTCCAACCGTCCGGTCCAATCCGGTTTTGAAAACCATGGTTAGAATTATTATTATTATTTAAAAAAGAAGAAAATAAATAAAGTGATAATACATGGGAAATCCTTTCCCTCTCTAAATGTCATAGGCACACAACCCATTCATCAATGAGATCAAAAGTAAAAATAATATATTACAATTCATCAAGATTATCATAATAAAAGGGAAAATCTATGATGCCGAAAAAACATGGTAGAGGAAGATATTTGACCAATCAAAACCCACCCGTAATAATAGCACTTGATTGGTTATCACACTTAAGATATTAGTTGATTGATCAGAATTTTTTTGGATCTTATCTTTCCGGTATTATAATCGAACCCTAATAATAAAACCCCGCAAAAAAAAAAATGAAAATGAAAACTATTGTACCGGCAATTCAATTACTCTTGCCATTACTCTAGAACCCAATGCTGGTAGGCAACAGAAATCCACAGAGCAAAAAGAGAGCCACATTACTTGCCAGAAAAAAAAGGATCCTTGCCAACATATAAACCCATGCACTGCAAAGGTCATTGTCTGTATGTTAAAGATACAGGGAATATAAGAACCCGTTCAATTAGTTGCCTGAAGGCCTATGACAGTTCAGTTTAACCCAAACTGATTAGAATTCAGATTTCATCCTCACAAAACCGTAGTCACAGCCTTTTATAGCTGTGCATTGATAACATTTCGATAATTGTATGTTTTCATTCATGGGGAGATATTCCAAATGCACAGCTGCAAAGGCTGAGGATGGTTTTGTGAGGCCGAAATCCAAATTCAACCAATTAATATACAAAAACCTGCTGACTTTATCAAAACCTATTCAGCTTCAAACCATTGAACTGTTGAAATCCAGTCACGGTTCATACCATCTTATAATATCAGTTTTAATATTTAATTTTTACTTTTCAAAATGATATGAATATCACAATTCATCTAACCAACCAGTCATTAAACTATCAAACCTAAAATGCCCCCCCCCCCCCCCCCAACACACACACACACAGATCTTTAAAGGGCGCATAGAAGGGGATAATAATTAAACAGCAAAGGATAAATGTGCAAATCAGAAGTTAAAGAATAAAAAGAGGGGGAGTCAGACTAAAAGAAAAAGAACAGGTGCATTCTGAGCATATTCCAACATTTCATAGTTTACATAAATTGTGTGCTTACCTTGTTTATAGTCAATTGAAGCCTAGACTTTGTGTTATTGATGAATTTGTGAGATTTATATGAGTTTCGCTGGGATATCCATACATATTCTAATCACCATATCTATGTTAAGCCCATTTTAGGTGAAATTCCTTGAGAACTTGCCCTCGACTTCCTGTTTCGCTGCTTCAGGAGAACGACGTTTGATCCACGAGGATCCTGTGGAGGAAGAACTTTGGGCAGTCTGGAAAGTTTTGTTGTTCGCAAAGGAGAGAGGGTTCTTGTCTGTGGTTATTTTATGGTTCTGTCTTGGTGAAGGCATTATCTACAGGAACTCGGGATCTTCCATGGCAATGTTTCTTTTTGCTGGATAAAACTACATCTCTTTTGAGAATTTTTAAATTCTCTAAAGTCAATTATGTGAATAGATCTTTAAATATGCCTGCCCATAGTATAGCTAGGGAGACAAAGGTTTTTGAAGCTGATCTTTTTTGGGAAGTTATTCCTCCTACTTTTTTGGAACAATATATTGTAGTTGATGACTTCTTATAATGAAAAAAAAAAAAAAAACACTTAAATGAGTATTAATCGTTAAAAGGCAGCTTCTTAGCCTAGATAAATTTGATGCAAGGAAAATATTGCCTGATGAAATGCTAGAGTCTGAACTCTCTGCCCTTTATTATTTTTCTTCCCTCTCGGTAAAAATGCGAGCCCTGAAAGACCCACACATTGTCCACCTGAACCAACAGAAACAATAGTTGCCACCAATCACCCGTCTCAGAAATCTTACAAAGGAGGCTTTGCAATGTCCAAAATAATTAAAGAACAATACAAACTATATGCAGATGCTACGGTTACAAATGGTTGGCCAATCATCATCTGATCTTCGGCTTCTTTTCGCCATTTCCAATTAAGGGTTTATCGAGAAATACACAACACCAACGGGCACCGTAGAAATAAAAAAACTAAATGGTTTTGCCCAAGGAGAATGGTAAACAGAAGCACATGCGTTGTTCAGGAGGAGATTTTGCAGAAACAACCCCAAAAAGCAAATTCATCTTCAGTCAGATCTAGGCCGACTTGTGCCACCTTTTTGGTTGTACAGGGGTAATAGCAAACGAGCCCCATGTTTCCTCCGCCCATAGCACCGCCAGTAAAGAACAAAAATCGATAGTGTAACAACAATTGGAACAGCCCATCTGTCACATAAATGAGAAAATCAGAATGCTACTTGACAATCTTCAACAAACTATTCTTAGGGGTACTAAAAACTGTGTTCCGAGAAAGTACTCGTTGTATTACCTGTCAAGATCGAGAATGGGACTATAAACTATTGTCTCCCAAGTTGCTACAATAAAATGCCATGCAGGGTTGTAGTAAAGAGACTCTGCTGTCCAAAACATCCTTGTGTACGTCTCCAAGAAGATAAATAGTACCCATGCTCCAATCTCAAGCAAAATAAATTTTATAACAAACCGTCCCACTACTACCATGACGAGGGAGAAGGTCACCAACCAATTGAAAAGCCTGTTATTGTATTCCTTAATGAATTGAGACCTTGACTTCCCCAGCATCTGTGTATTACATAGGGAAGATGCATATTCAAAACAACCAAGCAATTTAGAGATAAGGGAATGAGATCAAGAGATTGAAATAAATAGAAGTCCAAATATCTATCAAACCAAGTTTTACTTTCTCTTTCAATCTATTAGTATATCTTTAGGTGGATAGAATTTAGGTTCAGATTCTATCAATTGTCACTGAAATTGTAATGTCAACTTCAGAAACTAGCTACCATGCTCTCATGAATTTCAAAATTCCAAGGGAAGAACGGCTGTAATATCCATTTCCTCCAAATGATCTGCACTTTTGGATTGGGGCAGAAGCAGAAAAGACAGCTCCAATAGGATAAAGGAATCTGCTTCCTTCTGTGCTTCGCTGTTTACCTCCTGAAATGGTATTGAGTGATATTTCTTGACTTATTTTTCTGCTTTTCTGGCAGATTTTCTATCCTTGGAGGGTAGTGATTCGGGAATCAACCAGAACTGGATTTCCTACCTGCATTTCCACCTCTCTCCCCACCCCAATTGCAAACACATCCTTAAGTAATTTAATCCCATCCAACACTTAAAAACTAAGTCGTTACCAAAAATGCAAGCAAAAGAAAGGATATAAGATTTGGTCAAACCTTCATCATCCGTTGTTCATAGCTTGCCTTTGAAGGGCCAACACACTCCTCTTCAAAGCTTTGATTACATTGCAAAAAGCCCACATTAAATTTTGCCATGGAAGGAAGCCTTAGGACTTGAAGCTGATCCATTTTGTCCTCACACTTGGTATATAGTGCCTCACACAACTTTGAAGATTGATATTCATTTGCCAACATGAAATTCTTGTAGACCTACATGTGAATTTCCAATAACAGACAGTTATTTACTACATTATATGATTATAATATTTAAAACATCTAGGCTTATTTTGGAAAGAGTACAAATACAAATATGTACAGTACAAAGACAATACAAAATATAAGTTTTTGCACTCTACAAATTTGTATTTGCACTCCTTCCAAACTGAGCCCTAAGTTTTGTCACGCAGCAGTATAGAATTTACCTCAAAGCACAGGTAAGCTGAAGTCACACAAACACCAACACATATACTACTAATTGTAGTAATACCACTTATCATGAAAAATTGAAAACATGTGCAATGTGTATGCATGCATGAGTGGATTCTTCCAAATTGTCATGATCAGCCTTCAGAATAAAATGTCAGTTAGGAGCATCTTTGCTTTATGTTGGGCACGGAAGGACCAAAGAGAGATGCATAAAAAACTTTCATACAAGAAAAACAAAGTGACAAGAAGTTGTTACGTGCCTACACCCAAGAGTGAGTTAGACAACAGTTCAACAAAGAGGACTGACTTGTGGAGACCAAGTTGAGGTCCTCAAAGGGAGTTTTCTCTTCTTTTTACCTATCTTAGTGTGAAAAAAAAAAGAAAATGAACAGGTTGGCTTAATTTTAGGAATGCCAGAAACCTCCGAACACAAATGAGTTGTATTAGACTGAAATTGGTCAGTAACGAGATGACTTCCTTCACAGGAGATTAGATACATGCAGCCACAACATTCAACTTACTGACTTCTAGTGGAGATTCATTCTCCTCATTAATAACAACTACTTGACCCACATGAATTTGACTCAATTAACCCAACAAGCATAACTACTACTCAAGGTGGGCCCTTATACATGGACACATGTTCGTGCATGTAGCTAACTCATGTAACTCCATGATTACAAAGAGTTGGATCTGTATCACAAGTTCAACATGAGATGGTTCAAGTGTCTTGCTTACGAAGGATATAAGCAAATGACATGAACCACAAGGTGATTCAAGTGTCTTGAGATGGGCAGAGATCATGCAAGGAGGGTTAAAACTAAACTTTATTTTTACTATTAGAAAATCACAGCTCAACTAGGATAGGAAGAATTTCTAGAAATAATAATAGCCAAATAGTAAAGTTCTTTCTTCCAGAGGATTAGAACATTGTTTTTTATAGTTATTATTTATTTATTTATAAAGGAGGCGGTATTCTCTATGGATAGATCAAAGGCACTGGGCCCAAATGGTTTCACGATGGCTTTTTATCAAGATTGTTGGGAGATACTAAAAGAGGACCTAAGGCTGGTATTTGACGAATTTCATACTAGAGGAGTGATTAGCCCTGGGCTAAATTCCACTTTCATTGCCTTGATACCTAAGAAAAGTGATGCAAACCATCCGAAGGACTACAGGCTGATTAGTTTAGTTAACAGCCTGTATAAGATCATCACTAAGGTACTATCCATTAGAATTAGGAAGGTGCTCCCAAAAATCATAGCAAATAACCAAGGAGCTTTTGTGAAGGAGAGGCAGATAACAGATCAGATACTTATAGCAAATGAAAGTCTACAGGACTTCAATAGATCCAAGAAAAAAGGGGTGGTTTGCAAATAGGACTTGGAAAAAGCTTATGACTTGGTTTATTGGTCTTTCCTGTTGGAGGTGATAATCAATTTTGGGTTTGGAGATAAATGGTGCAAATGGGTGATAGGCTGCATTAGGAATTGCCATTACTCCATCTCGGTGAATGGGACAGTGGTGGACTATTTTCCAGCGTTGAGAGGGATTAGACAAGGAGATCCCCTTTCCCCTTTTTTGTTTACACTGGTCACGGAAGTGTTGGGGAGACTAATTTCCAAAGCAGATTCTAGGGATTTAATAAGGGGATGGAGAGTTGGAAGAGAGAATATACCGATCACACACTTGCAATTTGCAAATGACACAATTCCTTTTTTGTGAAGGAGGGGATCACAATAGGATCAGAAACTTGAAGCTCACTACACAACTTTTCAAGCAAATGTCAAACCTAAAAGTGAATTTTGAGAAAAGTTGTATAGTTGGAGTCAATTTGGGGGAAGGGAAGGCATGTGAATGTGCAGACATTTTGGGGTGTGTCGTATCTAATTGGCCCTTAAACTACCTTGATTTGACATTGGGAGGTAATTCTCAAAGAGATGAATTTTGGGTTCCAGTTGTAGAAAGGTTTGAAAAGAGACTTGCGAATTGGAAGAAAAACTATTTGTCTCTTGGAGGGAGAATCACCTTAATTAGGTCCACATTAGCTAACCTTCCTGTCTATTTTTTGTCAGTCTTTAAGATTCCGGTTAGGGTGGCTAGCAGGTTGGAAAAACTAATAAGAGATTTTCTATAGGAGCCAGGGGAGGAGGACCATAGGGTTAGGTGGGAGGTGGTGTGTAGGAGTAAGGAGGGAGGTTTGGGAATTGGGAACATAAGGAATAGGAACTTAGCATTACTAGGGAAATGGCTATGGAGATTTTCATTGGAGAAAGAAAAACTTTGGGTTAAGATAGCGGGAAGTATTCATGGGGTGGCATACAATGGATGGAACTCTGGGATTCTAGCAAGGACTGCAAGAGCATCTTCCTGGAAAGCTATTCAAGCTACTTTGCCCATGTTCTCTCCCTGGATCAGGTAGGATTTGCAATCAGGCAACCTAATTAAATTTTGGGAACATGTTTGGGTTGGGGATTCCCCTTTGAAAGATCAATTTCCAACTATTTTTGCTATCTCTACCCTTAAAAATGAACCATTTTCCTCCTTCCTTGTACCTTCTAACTCACCTTTTAGATTCGGTTGGAACCTGGGTTTGAGAAGAAATATCAGGGACACAGAATTAGGTTGTATTTCAGCCTTATAATCCATACTTGAAGGGATTTTCCTAGAGCCAACAAAGAAAAACAATAGAATTTGGACACTCACTCCCTCGGGTTCCTATACCTGTGCCTCTTTCTTCAAAGCCCTAATACAACCTTCTTCTGTTGGACTGCCCTTCCCAGTTAAAGAGGTGTAGTGTCAACCTATACCTCCGAAGGTTGGGAGTTTCTATTGGGAAGCCTTTCTGGAAAGAGTTAATATAGGAGATTTACTTCAAAGAAAATGACCCAATAGCTGGTTGTCTCCTCATTGGTGTGTCCTCTGTAAATCTGATGGCGAGTTTGGATACCATTTACTAATTTCCTGTCAGTTTGCTAAAGCTATTTGGGAATGGTTTATTTCTTTTCTTAGGTGCAGGTGGGCTCCCCCTTTGAATGTGCAAAGCTTATTCACTTCCATGCCCAACTGCTCAACAAAAAGGGCAAAGTTCATGTGGAGATATGTAAGGGCTGCAGTTTGTTGGACTGTTTGGGAGGAGAGAAATTCACAGATTTATATTGACAAAAAGAGAAGCTTGGAAGTAATATTGGAGATTATTCACGTTAGGGTGATACATTGGTTAAAAACTTTGGAATTGTTTGTTGATTTCTCAATTGATGAGATGCTAAGGAATTGGAAGGAAATTGCAGAGTCAACTTCAGCTAAGAAAGCTTTAAGTTCTTGTTGGACCCCTCCACCAAGTAGCTTTATCAAACTGAACTTTGATGGCAGTAGTTTGGGCAATCCAGGGCCCTCCGGAATAGGGGGAGTGATAAGAGATGAAAAAGGGAATTTGTTAGCTATGTATTCTGGTCCAATTGAGGTGGGAGACTCCTTGAGGGCTGAGATACTAGGAGCTCTTGAAGGGGTACAAAGGATCAAAGACATGCATATTAAGAAATTGATCATAGAAGGTGATTCTGAAATTGTAGTGAACTGGTTAAAAGAGGGCAATTCCAAGCTCTGGAACTACAGCAATGAAAAGAGGAAATTTATGTGGCTGAGTAAGGACATGGAAGTTAGTTGTACATTGGTAAAGAGAAGTGCAAACTCATTGGCAGATGGCTTAGCTAGGCAAGGGGTGAACAGAAACTCTATTTTTTGGGCTGTTTTGTAATTGATTTACAGTTTGGGTGTACATTGATGTATTAGGGAGTTAAGATTTTTTAGCTCCTTATCTATGTACTTTCTCAATCTTTAATAAAATTCACTGTTATTGATCAAAAAAATATTTATTTATTTATAGTTGAGGGTCAAAATATTGTTGAAAAGAATGGGGATGAATCTAAAAAGACAAGTTAGCAAATAATTACATTGAAGTGGCAACATATCTCTTACTAAAAACAACTTAACTATTGCATGTTTCATAAAATCATGCTATTTAGGCATAAGTTAACTATGCATATAGTTCAGTCCTTCTGCCATACCTTTTCTATTTCTTCATTCAATTTAGCAACTGATTGCTTAGCATGGTGACGGCCAAAATGCTGCCCATCAAAGACCTTCATGGCTTCTTCTTTAGAATTACCATGTGCTCTTTGCAGAGATTGCTCTGGGAGTGGTAATCTTAATTCACCCATCCTCTGGTCGTATAGCTTCAAACACCGTTCAAGAATTCCCTTATTGAAAACTTCAACAAGAGAACCTGTGGATGGAATCTCTCCTTTGTTCAAGGCTTCAAGAATCTGCAACATAAAAAGCATTTTGTTAAATCAGTGTTGAATTGGATTTTAGCTCTCCCAGATTTTGCTCAAGTTAGACTGGCAGATATGGGAAAATTTCTGGAATGTACGTGGAATTCTGGCCTGTAATGTTGAACAGTTTTCGGTATATTAGTTTTCTGACGAGTTGCTTCCTTTGACACCTCTCAGATTGTAATATTCTTTTTGTTTAATGAAATCCTTTSTTTTACTCGTCAAAAAAAAAAGGCAATGAAATAAAATAAGACCAATAGTCATGAACAAGGCAGAAATGAAGAGAGGCATGCTGGAGTAAACCCACAAATTCATACAGAACACCATCTGACGATCCAGACCCATATATGCTCATAAGATGGATGGTCAAATAACTTCCCATCACAATTAAAAACAAGCAGCAGTTGAACCAGAGATCAGAAAGAAAGATACCTGTTCCAGAAAAGATACAAATTCCCTTCCATTTAGAGGTTTACCCTGCACAATTTTTGGACGAATAACAGAAGCAACTAGTTCTTTCAATTGCTCCCTCTTCTGGACATACATAGGATCGAGCTCGTCATCATTCATGTCACAAAGCTTTGTTCGCTGAAGATGAGGCTGTTTGACAATTAAATTCAAACACTTGTTACTTGATTCCTAAACAATCTGAGAGCATTTTCATACACCAATCCTATGTAGGGGGTGCAAATGATACCAGATAAAAGTCCAGGCCTATAACCAGCCCATAGGCCAAAATAGCAGCCCAGGCATGGCCTTAGAATATTGTACAAAGCCTTAGTTTGGGTAAGGGTGCAAGCTGAACCCATTCAAATTCTAACAAATGCTCCCCAAGCCTACCCGGGTTGCACCCTAGGCCTGGTCCTCGTATCAAATTTGGGCTTAGGTTGGCCCATTAGATTCCAGGCATGGCCTATTAAAGAGTAAAACATCTACATTTTCTTATTTGATAGTCAAAAATATTAATAGCACTACAGGAACTTAATTATGCTTTATGTAAAGCACACCATTAATGCTCAACAAAATATTTAACAATCACTAAAAATAATTATAAGATTCTGAAGGTTGGCATAGATAAAATATTAATTTTGGGCCTACCATGGCCCATCAGGCCTAGATCATAGCCCTGGGGCCAGATCAGTTACTAAATAGTCTTCAAATTAGGCCCAGGCCTGGCTGATAGGCTATAAAAACACAGCCAAGCCCGGCCTACCATGGACCTGGCTCAAGTACCCAGTTGGGCCAGCCTAGGCAGTTAGGCCATGCGTACTTCTAGGCCTAAGCACTGTCAATGACAAGGAGTGCTTTGACTTGTAAAATAAGTCCAAATAAGCCAATTAACTGGATATGAAACATGCATACATATAAACATCAGTACACGTTTGTGGCTGTGTGCTCAAACTTGTGTGTGGAGGTATTATACACAAGAAGATGATTTCCTTGAACAACAAGAAAAGAAAAATTCACAGTACTCTTAATAAGGGCGCATTCATCCATTCAGGCTTGAAAGATGGAAAACCAGTCTGTTCCTGTGAGGAGACAAAAATATGGACATGGTGCATAGGGAAATACAAGTGATCTGACTATCAGTATATTTAAGTTATCATGAAGATCTCTCTGGTGAATGCCAACGACAAGCAAGGTTCAAAGTACTAATACAATACACCCCATATCAGGCATATCATTTCGTATTGTGGGTCACCCAAACGCCAATACATGGATTTAGGACATCTGACCGGTTTCAAGGGTTAATACCCTTCTTAGAGATGTCCCGGGTCAACTCTTGAAGCCTAATTATTTTTTTCATCTTAATATGACGCCCAATACACAATTTTTGCATATTGAGACGAGACAATACTTTGAACCATGATGATTAGGAAACAAATGCATCAAATCCAAGCATAGTTCGAGCCTCAAATAACCAAAATGTCAATATATGCTTTGATCCTTGGGAATAAAAGGCATCAGCCTCAAATGATCAAAATGAATTGTAGATGTAAATGTCCATGTATGATTCCAATCAAAAGGTATAATTATTTTGGTCATTTAAACTCTTTAATTCCTAGCTCCTTGTTTCTCCTTGTTCCCTTGCAGTCACCCTGCCAACAAGTCAACTCAACTCAACGAAGACTTAATTTCAACCAATTATATGACTCCTGCTCTAAAATTCCACTCCAGGCCAGATTTTTTGCCAAATAATATGCCATCAAAATCCTTATTACCACTTACCACCTCCATTGATGTCCTTTGGAACTTCCCTTTCTGCTCTTAAAGCTTTCAAGTTGCACCAGATCACCATTGCTGGTGCAATCATGGTCTTTAATGATGCAAATGCATAAAGCACTCCATTTGTTTGCCCAAGCCTTACACCCACCCAAAAATGCACTTATTTTTAGTTTTATCCTTCCTAATATTGCCATGGAGTCATTTCAATGATGTTTCTTAACTGCACAACATTTTGTCACATGCAGCACTGTATCTAAGCTCCTGCAGTAAATGCCTTGTTTTTTACATTTATTTTCAGAATTTTCCTTTATTGTGTTTCAGAATGATCTTATACTCATTTCTTCAAGAAACAACATACACCATGTAAGCTCCTATAGTAAATGCCTTGTTAACTCATCTATGGATAAAGTAGGAAAGAAAAGCTTGACGCCAGAACTTGTGTGGACCTATGGTGATTGGAATTCCTTGCATCCCTTCAAGCATTCTCATGTTATTTGATGCTCTTTTCCTACTTAACATACCAGGTTAGCTCTGGCAATCAAGTCAGTAAATATCAATCCCCCCCCAAGCTTCTTCATCAATGGCCTACACAAAAATATAGCTAAGATGCTTGCTCTTCTTCTGTAAATCTGAGTAGATCTATCAATATTCTAGTTTCATGCCCAAGTCTTTTCTCAATTACTCTCTTTTAGAATTTCATGATTCATATCATGGCTCGCAAGCTAGATATCAGATATTTGGTATAACACTCACAGACATGGCATTTCCTTGTCATTATGGTCACATTAAACATCTTTGTCAAACAAACTAACCCATGCATTTTTAACATCTATTAGGAAACTATCTGTTCCAGAACCTCTCTTGCCTTCATTGGTTTGTCCTACTAACTTCATATACTCTAGATCTATGAAAGTATGTTTATCAGCAGAGAAATTCCTCACAGCTATATGCCCAGCATGGTCATCATCTAATAACTTCTAACAATAGCTTCTCTATACAGTCACCATGCCAGCAATAGCATCTAACCATTTTCTCCTTATTTTTGTTTGTCAATTAAGAGTGTGATATTATAAGGGGGCATGTCTTGAAATAAATATTGAAAATTCCTACCAGACGTGGGCTAGATTTAAAGGTAACTGTGATAGAACAAGAATTAGAAGAAATTGATGTCTTTCTATTGAGAAAGTAGTACATATATATACAACCTTGTAGATACTAAAAAGGAAGAAAATCATACAGCCTTGCAGATACAAAAAAGAAAGAAAATCATACAGCCTTGCAGATACAAAAAAGGAAGAAAATCATACAGCCTTGCAGATACAAAAAAGGTAGATACTAAATAGGAAGAAAATCAAAGAAAAAATAATTCCTATAATCAAGCTATTCCTAATTGGGCTAATACTACATATTTACAGCCTATAATTTCGTAACAGTAACTAATAACTATAGAATGAAATCTTGACAACATCCTCTAATAACGTGTAGTTAATTATCTGCTGCACAACATCTACCTCCTAAACACAAATGCGAACACAAACACATGTTTACATGTGTTGCCCCCAGCGCCCATTTAGATACAGTAAGAAAATGAATCCTATCCCACCATTCCACTCATTCCAAAGCAATATCTTCTATTGAAGAATGAGATAAGAAGTATTTTTTCAACTGTTATGCTACTGATCATTCCTAGTGAGAAAAAAAGATGCCGATGGATGTTCAAACAGCAGATTTTGGAGAGTGTACAAGATTAGAGAGGCTGGATCTCTGGTATCCACTGTGAAACCACTTATTCCATTAGGTTTCTGGAACAACCAATTCAAAAGCTGATCGTCTTGCAACAAAATCATTGAGGAGTAAGCTATCATGGAGTACATACCTATAGAGGTTTGCTTTTAGCTTTTAACGTTCTTGTATAGAGGTTCCAACTAAGAGCATAACTTGATAACTTCAAGCTCTTCTAGTATGCAGTATCAATTTAAATCTCCTTGTATCCCACCCAAATCCTACATGAGGGTGGCAAACACCTCCACCTACCTATAGAGGTTTGCTTTTATCTCTCAATTAAATCCCTTAAACCTCCTACTAATGAAGGAAGAAACTGGCCTAGCATCTCAAAATTTTGGTTGCAGATCAGATAATTTCAGAAGAAGTTCAAAGAAAAAGGTAAGAAATATGAAATGATCAGAATCTGCTGTAAGAATTCACAGCTCAAGTCAGACGATTTCGGAAAAGTAGATCGATTTTTTTATAAGAAACTGTAATTTCATTAATTATAAACAGCAAGATATTTACAAAGTACTATACAACCCAAAAATAGGCTAGAATTTACTACCTATCCCCCACAAAAATTCATTTTACAAGACAGCCCAGAACAATTGATTCCTGTTTACCTGCTGTTTGGCCAATGCAGCAGCCATGCTATTAAGTGATCTTTGCACCCACTGAATAGTAGTTTCTAAGTTCCTAGTCAACCATTTGATTTCCATGATTTCTTGTCTGTAAGTCCACATAACCTACTCTTCATGAGTTAACCAGCTGGTAAGTAATAACTACCCTGGAATCACCTTCAATTATCAATTTAGTGAAATTCATTTGTTTTGCCAGTCTAATTTCCTGAAAAACAGCCAACAGCTCTGCCCTTATGGAGTCCCTCATATCATTGGGCCTAAGAACACTGCATTAATAATTTCATATTCATCTCTAAATACACCACCCATTCCAGAGTGTCCTGGGCTACCCATGCTGCTGCAATAAAAGTTGAATTTTATAGCACCTCCGAGGGCTGGCTGCCATAGCTGTTGCACTCTACCTTTTTGAAGATGCACCTGCCACTTCCCCCTAATTGTAAATATCATCCATAGTGAAAGGGGAGAAAATACTCAGATATCACTCAATGTGCAACTCTCATTGTGATGGTCTCAATGATTGTTTCTTTAATTCTTTCTTGATCTTTGGAAATCAGAATACTCGCATTTCTTTCTTCCCATACTGTCCAAATGACTACCATTCTAGTGCATCTCCACATAAATCTCCCTCTCTTCCTTGGCCACCTAAACATTGATGAGCAAAACAAGCTAGCCACATCTAAAGGTATAGTCCACCTACACCCAAAAAGAAAGAAAAACCACTCCAAATGCAAGTAACAAATGGACAGGAGATTAGTAAGTGGTAGCAAGTGTCCCCTCTATCTTAACAAAGAATGCAAATATTTGAAGATAAAACCCAACTAAGTTTCATCTTTAAAAGAATATCATAGGTATTAATCTTCTCATGGAACACCTCCCAGTAGAAAACCCCAATTTTAGGAGAAACAGATTAACTCAAAACTTCCTTAACAAGAAAGTGTTATAAGGGATTAATATTCCACAAAGTCCAAAAAGAGGAGGCACAAGTAAAGGTTCCTAAAGGGAAAGCAGTCCAAATACAACCATCAGGTTTGAGAGGGTCCACAAAGACACCCACCCTCAAGGATCTGTATTAAACCCAAAGTAGAGGAGGCCTCAGATTCTCTAGCCCCAATCAAATCCAAGGAAGTTGGAGGAGGGAAAAGAGAACTTAGAAACAGGCTCCTTAAAAGAAGACAAAGAAAGGAGGGAAAGCAATCCTTGAGAGTAGAAATCCCCACCCAAAAGTCTTACCAAAAGCAGGTTTTGTCCCCAAAGTGTGTGCATCACATCTAATGAGATTTAAAAAGGAAGGGAGAATACCATGAATAGCCTTCCACAAAGAGGCCAAGGTGGTATGTGTAGATAGGCCTGCATCCTAGTCATTGTCCAATTTCCCATGTATGCTTATCACCACATGATGCAAAACTCAATCGCTCTCAATTGGGAGTCTCCAAAGCCATTTCCTAGCAAAGCCATATTATTTTTTTTCCTAAATTCCTTATAAACCATCCTTCATCCCTTCTCTTGCTAACTACATCCCATCTCACTAAGTTAACCTTTTTTTGTCTCCCTTGGTTCTCAGAAAAAGTCTCCCTATTATTCTTTCTATCTTCTTGACAATACTCCTACGGATGATGAACACTAACAAATAATACACCGGGAGATTACCCATCATTGATTTTATGAGTTATCTTCCCACCCAAGGAAACATAGTTCCCTTTCAACACAACAAGCTTCTTAGATGACTTTTCAACAACAACACTCCAAAAACTACTCTTCTTAAGCTTCTAGTAGAAAGCCCAAATATTTCATAAGCTAGGTAGTGGTGGAAAACTCAAAATCTTAGCATAGGAAGCTGATTCTGCTTCACCTACATCAGTACCTACCAAACAACTCTTGTCCAGGTTCTGTGTTCATGTAAATAACTGATGGACATGAGTCACATAATTCACTGCTAGAACCTTGGAATATGATTATTAGCATGGCCCATTCAAAAACAATGGTAAGAAATCTAAGATTTGATCAGAAATCTGTACTTGTAATTCACAGATCAAACCAGATTATTTCAGGAAGAGATTTTTTTTTTTTTTACAAAGATGACTATTATATTCAAAAGGGGCAAAAAAGGGGGGATGTACATGAGAAGATTTACAAACAACCATCAGGATTTCACAACTAAAATATCACCCCACTTAAGGGGGCAACTATTAGCACCATACAAAAAATTTCTATCCACCCCCCCAGAATTGGCCAAAAGATCCGCAATTGAGTTCAGCTCCCTTGGAATCCATCTAAAGCCACAATGCAGAGAAGAGGTTATTTCTGAGATCTCATTGAGGAAATGACCCAACTTCCAAGGGCCCTTTCAATGAGAACAGAATTCAGCTGTAGAGATCTAACCATTCTCAGACTCATCATGAAAGCTCTGATTTCAACTTCTGAAGCATCTACAGAACCAACTGGGCCACTGTAAGCCCAAACCACAGAACCATCTCTGTTAAAAATAACTCCCCCAATGCCAGCCACTAGCGGTTGGTTGGGAGATGATCATCTGCTGCCATCAAACTTCAGTAAGAAATCTAGATCTGGTCTTGGAGTGCTGGATTGTCCGGGCTGATTGTCAAGGTGGGAGGAATGTACAATCTCTAATAAATTTCAAATGCAAGACTTACATAATGCCATCAAAACTCCACAGGAGGGAATGATAAAATCTCAATGTGTCGAAGATTTGCACACAAAGGTAAACACGGTTTAAAATGTCAACGTATTTCTTAATATTTCCATTTCCATGGGGATCGACACGAAATATTACTAGAATCAACATATTCCCCAGTGAAAACTACCACTGCTACGTGGAGTACACAAGATAATATTGTAACATGATGGTTTGGAAAAAGTATTATAGATGCATTGAGCAGTAATATTATCATCCACCTGACGGAGGCAGCTGCAAATTCGTTTGGATGTGATATTAAATCTTAATTTTTGTTTGTGTAATAGATTATTTGGTTGATCTATTAGAATCATTTGCACATTTTGTGCTTAAATTTTGCTTGAGTGTACTCTATTATGTACTTTTAACTCTTAAAGTCTACAAGATATTTTACCAATTGGAAAATAAAAAATAAAAAATCTATAGGACAACTTTGTAGGACACTACTTTTTTTTATGAATATTTGTAGGATACTACTTTGTCTATTAACCTTAGCTTCTTGGCTCCGTTTGATGTTTTGAAACAAGACAATAACCTAAAAGGGTGTATGAACACTTATTATCATTGCCTTTTTCTCAAAAATATATCATCAACATCATCTAAGCCTTGTCCCAACTATATGGTGGTGGATACATGAATTCTATTCCACCATTCCATTCTATTCAGTGTCATATCAATTGTTAACAATGGACATAGTTGAAAAATAAGTAGGTAGGAAAATTATTTGTTGCTTCTAAAATGCATCTAGTCCCATCCATGACCCATGTTTCCACAAATACTCCTCTATTTAATTGTACTCTCATTTATTAGTATTGACAGAAACACACAACCTGGTGTAACTTCTTCTGAGAAAGAATGGTCACTCTTAACTATATCTCATGGAAACTACAGAAATCCAGAACCTTGGAATTTGATAATTAGCAGGGCATAGCTTTGAAAAGGAAAAGGAAACCATTGTTTGAAAATGATAATCTATCTTACCAAAAAAAGAATTAAAGAAACAAAGAAACCCAGTACCTGTGGTAAGCTAAAAGCAGTGCTGTTATCACCCATAATTGCCAGAGATTCGCGAATCTGATTAACCTGGTAATATCAAGGAACAGAATTATGATCCCAGAATGACACTTTTCCCATTTAGCAAAAATAAAGGAAGCGTTCAGCAGAAAAAATACCTGATCAAGATTTCTGTCACCTGCAGTCATAATAGATGTCCAGGGTCAAGCATAATATAATTATATAACATGAATGCTGCATAAATAAAACTCATCAGGCGTGCAAATGCAATTAGGACATGTAAAACATACCATCATTATTTGGCACCTGTTGAAGAGCTTCATTCACCATCTGTTGCACAGATTTCCCTTCTGCAAAGCAGCATTAACAATGTCAGACTCTTAGACTGAACAACAACAAGAATGGTCCCCACAGAGATACAATATTGTCTCCAGCAGATGCCTAAGCAACTTTGGAGAACATGATTGGAAAACCATGTTTGAATCCATAATACTGCTCAAATAAACAAAGAAAATTACTCCCAGACAATACTTTTTTCTTTCTTTTTTTTTTTTGATAGAAAACAACTGTCACCACCCAAAGGATGGCTAAACAACCAAAATCATAAACAGTCTACAAGCAAGCCCAAAATAAAGCCCCCCTATTTACTCCTTGCTTTGCTAGACATCAACCAATCCATTTGCTGATCTTCTTACCCAGTGTTTTAAAAGCGCAAGGTGCAAAAAAGGCGCAGGGGTCAATTTGCGCCTGAGGCGCAAGGTGAGGCACGCGCCTTTTTGAAGCAAGGCACAAAATTATAAAAAAAAATGCTAAAAAATCTTTAAAAATGTCAGAAAATTCAAAAAATGCCAAAAAATTCAAAAAATAAAAAAAAAATACTAAACATAATATTAATAAAAAATATAAACTTAAATTTTAAAATAATGTTTTAAAAGACCTATTATCTAAAATTAAAATACATAAACATAAGATATAATTATGTAAAGCATATGCAAATGAGAATTTAAAAATAAAATCAAACATATAAAACATTTTCAAGCATTTAAAACCTCTAATCTCCTTTTTCACTCAATTGCATTACTTCACGTAGCTAATGTAATGTAAAACATATTACATTCCTGATTCTACGAGCCGCCTTTGTGCCATGCCCCTCGAGGCAAGCCTAAACAAGTCCACGTTAGGTCTTAAATTCTACAAGCCGCCTTTTGAAAGGACTGCACCTACGACCTAGGTGAGGCGCATACCCTGAAATGCACCTCACCTGTGCACCTAGGTGCGCCTTTTAAATCACTGTTCTTACCCACTTGAACTGTACCCTTAACTCCCTTGCTAAGTACAGTATTTCCCTTAACTGTTGCCTGTAAGGCCATGCACCTAAACTTCTTGCTTGCATCCAGCCAATTACCAGCTTGGAGTCACCTTACACTTCTAGCTGTTGCGTACCCCACTGCTTAGCCACTACTTTTTTCTATCTTTTTATTGATAACAGGGAAAAGGCAGGAGTTTTATTGATATCGGTTGAGGACTTGCAATTTGAGAGAAGAACATTGTACTTGATAAAATGGAATGGCAAATCAGGATTTGTGTAGTAAACTAATATTATTTAGGTTATGCTTTCTTGAGTGTTTATTTATTTATTTATTTATTTATTTTGATTGACAAATATTGTATTAAAGAAGAAACAAAGGAACACACGGAACCCATTAGGATGTGAAAAAAGGTGCCAACGGTGAAGAGTTCCACCATACAAATATTGGAGAACACTTAAGGCTAGAGGTAATAATTAGAGGCTTCCTATGGAAGTTGGAGTGAGACCAAGAGAGGTTACTTAATGAGATGGGATATGGTGTGTAGAAGGAAGGACCATTAGGATTTAGGAGTAGGGCATCTGAGGGTTATGAATTCTGCTTTGCTTGTGAAATGGTTGTGGAAATTACCATTGGACTTTGATAAGTTATTGCATGAGGTGGTACTACTTTACTTCTAAAACTAGTGCTGCCAATGAATTGGAACGAATTTGGGTAGGGGGAATATCAGAATCCAACCAATAAGAATACAAGAGATCTGAATTCAACCTGATATCCAATGGATATATAAAACATAGATTCAAATTCAATAAATTTATATATCCAGATATCCTTTTTGATTAAAATATCAGTAAATCTATATAAAGTATTAAAATTAGCATAAATTTATAAAACTAAATATTAAACAAAATATATATACCATAAATGGAAAAAATAAGTTTAAATCTGAATCCGACTTTGAATAAATCAAATTTGAATTCAAATAGAATCCAATTTTATCCATTTGCATCCCTATCTAAAAACACCTCCAAACTTACGTAGGAAATCACGCTGTATTAGCCACAACAGCTTAGCTGGTTCAAATGCGACGTCTTGCCCCTGTAAAAAAATTCAACCAGTCAATCTCATAATAAATGAATATCTCTAATAAATGCAGGAAAAAAGCTACAGTTAAAAGTAGGTTACCTTCACTCTGTTTTTCCACATACATTCAACCAGAAAATACAGAGAACCAGAGAACAAGTTAGGGTTGTTGGCAGAAATACCATAATCAATAATTATGACAAGTTCTTTACCTTTGAAAAACAAAACATTTGGAAAAGAAAAAAAAAAAAAACAAGGAAATTGGAAAGTTGCAAACCTTCCATAAAATTCCTCAGCAAGCTCAATAGCAAAAGACAAGCGGGATATATCTGCCTCACGAATCTAAAACAAGACACCATGAACCAAGAACTTAAATTGGACTTCCATGCAAAAGTGGCTGAATAAAGCCTTCATAAATGGATTATATTCCATTATCAAAGAAAATCCAAAAGGAATCTTAAAACTAACAAGAGTTATGGTCTAGAGGACAAACCGTCTCAGGTAGGTTATAGATAAGCACAGAACTCATAACAGTTGCCAGGGCAAAGATCCTGCCAAAGAAGAAATTAGAAAAGAACAAAGAACCAAGACTGCACATGATACTAGAGTATCAAATTATCACCTGTCATCATATACATTAGATTTCCCAACACTTTCAAATCCTTCTGTATCAAGGTAAAGCACAGATGTTTTTATTCCATCAATATCCAATTCTAATGGGGTTCCCCATACCCATATACCTGGAACCAAGGAAAATAAATGTCAAAAATGTCAGTCAAAGGTTTAGTTATCAAAAAATGCCAAAGAACGACAGAATATTAACCTTTTGTTTTAGTATCACGCATGTGACCAACACCAAATCCTGAAAAGAATATATGGTTCCGATGAGAGTTCCAAGTTCTAATATGGGGAGAAAACTAAATAAGCTAATCTATGAAAAGAAAAAGACAAACCTTCATAACATGAAAGGGAGAGAAGCTGATTAAGAAGAAAAGATTTGCCAGACCGGTATGGACCAATAACCTAAGAAGGCAATCATGAAGATAAAGTCAAAAGAAAAACAGTATAATAAAGGGAGGTGCTTAAATGGCTCTTGCTGTGTAATGATACCTATATAGGTAATAAGAAAGACCACTGGTTATGCAAAAAGGAAAACAACAACAACAACAACAACAACAATATTTACAAAGGCAAGCTCAAATATTTCTATAAAGTTTGTGTGGGAGGTAACACCTCGTGCCTCTCTGTGGGATGCTTGTAATGCCTACTTATCAAAAAAAATGGCAAGCTCAATTATTTCTCTTTTCAGAGAGTAGTGACAGTAGAACACCCAAAAATCTTGTGGACTGTGATGTGTTTACTTGTTTCATGGAGTCTTAAACTTCAAGTCTTTAATGTAAAGATTCCTATGACATGTAAGCTTAATGGATTGAAACCATATTTTTTAATTGACCAAAACAAAAAATGCTTGTAGTATATTAGGGAAAGCACTAAAATTAAATAATAATAATAATAATAATATAAGTTGATTTGTGGCATGAAATGCTGGGTTTTTCTTCAAGGACCAGCAATAATAAGTAGCAATAGTGGACAACTTTGACCCTTCAATGACCAATTCACAAGAATAAGAAATAAGTCACAACAGCTTCATAGAAACACATGACTTTTTTAACATTCTTCACTAAAAATTAGGCTGTAATATCTCTATATATAAAATTATGTCCTAATCTACTAAAACTTAATAAAGAAAACCCATAGCAAGTGTATATTCTTGCTTTACAAGAATGTCCCACTTCCAATTTCTAATAAAACTGCAAATGAGGAAAATTACTTAACCATCCCATGTCTAAGCATTATCCTACTTGCTATAAAACTCATGCAAATCATCCCAATCAAAACATGTAGGCCAGGTCAGGTAAGACCAAGGCAAGTAATCAGCAAAAGGGTAAGGCCAAGTCCAACTAATATGTGGGCCCACTGATTTGCAAAATAAGAATGCCAAGTCCAAACAACATACTACATTGGAGCCCAAACATTTTGCAACTTTGGTTGGATTCTTGGACCTACCCATGATCCATGTGTTCTTTGAATGCTCTCCATGCCATGGACCTCCTAAAGCTGGACAGTGGTTGAAGAACTTAACAAGTGGAGTGGCTTTGAACGATTAAAAGAGAACCTAAAAGTTCATGGAGGAAATTTGTTCTAGCACAATAAGGGAACAAAAATCAGTGACAAAGCTTGTTATTAGTTTCAAAGATACTTAGAGTGGATAAGAAATATTTTGCATATATTTAGTTCCAAAGTTTGAAAGTATTTTATGTAGTTTTGTGACTGAGAACTAACCTCAAACATTTATCTTTGTTGGATAAGAAATACTTTGCATATAGCGTAAGATATGGGAAACAGTTTTAAGGCTTACCGCAACAGCTGCAATTGGTGTTGTTATTCTTTCTATTGCCTTTAATCCTTCTCTTGCAAGACGAAGTTTTGTATGACCAGAATCAGGTTCCACAATAGGAAACCTGTTAATACAACAAGAGCAACAAACACTATATGAATGAAACCCAAAAAAAAATACTTTATTTAGCCTCAACAGGAAGACAATATAAAAGGTTAAAAAATTTAAGGTCAAATTTTTATGAATTATAGTTTTGATGTAACAAACACAGACAACAGTTTCTCTTTTATCAATAAGATAAAATTTATTCTGTTTATTATCACCTTGCTGCAAAATAACAGAATATAGAGACAAGGAAAGCAAGCAAGGAAATTGAACAGAGAAAAGGACAGGTCAATCTTCAACAAGAAAATGACCAAATCATTGTTATCTTCAAAGTTTTGCCACTTTGTAGGATGCATAATAACATAAAGCCACCTGCAAATGACTTTATAAAGCTCAATTTTGATGAGAGCAGTATGGGGAACCCAGGGCCTTCAAGACTGAGTGGTATTTTCAGAAATGAAGAGAGCCACATTATTGCTCTATTTTTTGGCCCAATAGGCATAAGAGATTCTCTAAGGGCTGAGATAATGGCAATGCTAGAAGATGCACAAAGGGACATGAGTTTGAACATCAACAGATTGATTATTGAAGGGGATTCCAAATAAGTGATAGGATGGTTGCAGATACAACAAGTGATAGGCAACAACAGGGATAAGGGTTTTGTTTTGTACTTAGTTCTCCTCACCTGTTTTCTGAATCACACTGTTCCCTGCTATCAATACCTTTCAGTAACAGTTCACCCTCATTAAAAGGGTGGGCTTTAAAGTTTCCTGGATTTTGGTAGCGATTTTTTGCTTTTATTTTGTAAGGGCAGGGAAAGAAAAGGATATATTATAAGGGGTTGGAGGGTAAATGTGATATGGTCTTGGGCTTTGAACTGTTTTGGTTGATACCTTATCACCTCGTATTTTTTTTCTTCTTTTATAAAATTGTTCTTTTTTATTACCAAAAAAATATATCTTTTAATAACATGGCTCTCTTTCTTCCTAGATGATCATAATAAAACTCCTCTGTTGATTGATTACTGATCAAAAAAAATGCGAACATTGCTTCTGAAACTCAAAAGAGAAAGTAAAAAAGTGAAAAATGAAATATAGAACTGAATTCAGGGCTGATTTCTATCCAATTTTTCTACAAGCATGAAAAAACATTTTCATTTAGTCCATTTCAAGTCAGTTTAACTTATCTTGTGTGACTTGCATGGCTTTAATATGTTTGAGTCTTGAATCTTGAATAAGGTGTGGATTGTTAAATTGGAGGTTGGCCACCAAGTTATACCAAAATGGTAGCATAGTAGACCATACCTTCTTTTTTTTAGTCAGCCATGGTAGGTAGACCATACTTTATACACCAGAATGCTACATAGCTAATAAACTGCGTGGATTAGCACAAGATTTAAGGTAGATGAACAAAAAGGCTATTAAATACAAAACAAGGGAAGACCTTAGAAGGAAATCAGGAATCTAGGAGTAGCCCCAACAGATGGCAGATAAAGAAAAAATTTGAGAAAAGAGTAACAGTTTATTAATAGAAAAAGGGTACATGAGATGATGTACAACGAGAACAAAACACAGATCTGGCTACAAAGACAAAATTTGTGTGCAATGAAGATAACTGATGGCACAGAAAGATTGCAAGACCAGAATACCTTTGGTAAAACTGTTCAAGATAGACCCTTCATATAATGAAAAAGGTTTGGATACAACCCAAGGGAATGTGAACTAGGTACTGCAGAAAAATCTGGAAAGACATTCTGTGACAGTAGGTCTGACTCTAGATAAAATGGTGTTAAAGAAGAAGATTCATCTTGCCAACCACAAACAGTTCAGATGGGAATGATAATGATGATTTTTATCCGTGACTTGATCATGAGTCAATCTGCTTTTAATTCCGTATATCCTCTTTTTACATTAAGTTGACACATTATACTGAAATTACAAACTAGTATTGGCCTTTGTAAGTTCTCCCTCAGACAGAAAGATAAAACGATTATACCGCTATATCTTAAGCAAGGCATTCAAATCACCCCAGACCAAAATTTGTCGTCATACTTTTCTTCCCTAGGAAATGACCCTCTTGTTTTTGCTGGGAAGGTCCTCCTACTTATCCTCAAGAAAACAATTTCCTTCCGACCATAACAGGTGATAGGCATCTGTAGCAGTCACACATTGTTTCCAGGGTATACGGTTATCACACCAGTTAATGCTCAATTAATAATGTTCACGTAATCCAATAGCAGTTTCCAGAAACCTACTGAACCAATAAATTAACCTCTTAAGAAAAAGCCATAAATGCTCATTGCAGAGAAGAAGAAATTGCAATGTAGCGGTACATCTTATTAACACAGTTTTTTATTTAAACTCTCCCATTGAGTCCCCATCAATGAAACTCATTACGAATTAAAACGAAGGTAACAGAATGAAATTCCGTCTAAAATATAAAGCATCACTGGAATAACCAAAAAAAATCCCTACTTTGCATAAGAAGACACAATTAAATTGAATTTAAGCGACTGAAATTTTGAAAGAAAACAARCCTATTAAACTAAACTCCCAATCAAAAAATAAAAAAATAAAAATAAAACAAATAAGATCCCACTTACGCCTGTCGAAAATCATCTGTTGAAGAAGAGCCGGATGCGTAGAAGCAAAGGAAGATCGAAACAAGGAAAATCCAACCCAAAAATCCCATTTTCTTTCGAGACAAGAGCGTTATCTCTCAAAGGAGGGAAGATCGCAGATGGGTATTTGTAGCTGTACAGCCGACGTGACCATGAGAAGGCAAAGGAGGAGATAACCATTTGGTTTTGGAGGCATGGGAGGGGAATGGATCTCAAGAAACTATGGATGTAATTGTGGGTCGGGTATCTTACAAGCACACCTTTCGTCTCGCTTTCTTCGCTCCTCAGAAAACGGAAGAAGCAAAAGAAACGCCTTTGCAATCAAAGAAAAAAGCGGATTCGTGTTCAAGAGAGGAGAGTTTTTTTATTCTGGTCTGAGGACTCTTCTTCTTTACACAGAGAGAGAGAAAGAGAGAGAGAGAGAGAGAGGAAGTGAGGAAATGGTCAGACAAAGCAAATAGGGTATTTTTACTGTGGCCTCCGTGATTTGAACTAGAATTACACAAAAGGATCTACCCTCCATCAAGTATATAAATAAGGTCCCCTGTCTCGCCCTGGTTTGGAGAAATTCAACTAACTGCCGTTGCAGAAATTGTAGTTTTACCAAAAGAACACTGTCACACTGAAGCTAAGGATGCCAATTACCAACGGGTCAGATAATATGGTTTGGCTCAATTAAACCCGACAGGAAGGCATTCAACCCGAACCGACTAATATTAGAACAAATCGAATAAGCCTGGCTCCAAATTTTTATTCATTTAATATGAATCGAAACTTATCCATCAAAACTGGGTCAATAAAATAGTAAATACCATTAATAAATTAAAACAAAACTGATCAAATTAATAATATAATTTGAAATTGAATTTTGATATTGCATGTGATGGATAAAATGACTTCAAAACAACTTGTATGAGACTTAAACCTATGACTCGTTAATAAATATAAAATATTCAATCTAACTTTTTGCTAATAGATATAATATAAATTTTATCTAGATATGAACATAAGGTTCAGTTTGAAAGGAATATAAATGCAAATATGTAAAGTGTAAAACCTTGCATTTTGTATGTATTTGTTCTGTATATATTTGTATTTGTATTCCTTTTAAATTGAGTCTAAATATTTAAATATCATCTAAATATAAAAATAAATAAATTYTAATGACCTTTAACCAAATCATATTTAAATTCAGATATTGCTTACTGCAGCCCTACGTAAGGTATTAACCACCAACTCAAGACTGGACTCCTTGTCCTTCAATTATTCTCTTTCTCTTGTTCATCAATTATTCTCCTATTCAGCCTACATGCACATTGTTATGTACTTATGTGTATCATGGATCGGATTTGGTCCAATCCAATCCGAATCCAAGAGTTATCCAAATAAGATGTTTCAAATCCGAATCAATCCAACGTGGGGGTTTGTCCAAGTGGCTATAATCCAATCCAATCCAATTAATCCATTGGATTCAGATGATTTGAGCAAAACCACATGTAAAGAGACACACCCAAAAGCTTGTTATTCATTGATTGGTGCCTTTCTCTCTATCTCCATCTCCTGATTTGTCTCCTAAATTCTCTCCAATGATAAAAGGTCCATTTTTCCCTTTAAGACATACTAATTGGGATCCGTGTGATACAGGGGTTTTGTTAAACGAAATTGAACCAAGAGTCTTATGACATTCTCATTTGGGTATAAGTAGTTCCTACCCAATCCAAACATTATTTTTAGGTTACTTATTTATCTATGATTAATTTAAAATATTTTTAACTTTAAAATACAAATTGAATGTAATTATTATAAATGGTATTTAAATAGATTTTAGATCAATAATAACTAGTTTTGAATTATTGACATTTTAACATATAATTGAGTTTTATATAACTAGTAATATCCGTATGAATATTAACACTTAAATTAAATGTGATAATATATAATGCTTAATTGTAATTTTAATTTGCTTAGTTACGGATGAAATGTTAAATGTAGTTATATTAATATATTTATATTAATTAATTATACTTTTAGTTTTCCTAAGTTTTAAATTAATTAAGTAATAACCTGTTTTATTATTTACATTAATTAAATAGTTTAATTCAATTTTATATCTAACAATTATTATTATTGATCAATAACTAACATTATTTGATGTTAATTCCCGGATGGTCTAAATTAAACTAACCCAACATGGAATGGCATACAATGGCTCTCGTAACCATTGAATTAGGGTAAAACACCGTCAAGAGGTCTAAGTCGGCTTTGCTCTATTTCTAACATGTTTTAAATGACTTGGGTTTTTACTTTTTTTTTTTTTTGTGAATAACTTGGGTCTCCATGTAAATTAATTTCTAAATTAAACGAATCAAGGTTTTCAAATTTATTGGCTTGGACGGTCATATCATTTGGCCTGGAGACCCATTAGAGTATCGGTTTTGTTTCACCCCAAACTGTTATTTTCCCAAAAATCATTGAATTGGTAAGCAACATGTTGAGAGCTCGGATCTGCTACCCATTAAATGGAACGGGATCTGCTCCTCACACTTGGGTGTCTCACGTGCACATCCACCGTGCATTGGGAACATCTCCTGTGAATAATAACTTATAAGTATGAGAGATGTTCCCAATGCATGGTAGGATATGCGTGTGAGGCGTCTTACGTGAGGAGCAGATCCGATCTCCATGAGATGTTAGATGTTTCTAATGCATGGCGGTGGTGCTCTGTGGGTATGGATGTAAGTACAACTTGTGGGTAGCAAATCCTGAGTCACCTGTTGAGCCAAATTGTCAAACTATTAGCCTATTTGAGCGAGATGATGGTCTATATAGGCCAAATTTTTATTAATTATTTTTAAAATTTTTAAAACGATACAAGTTAAATCTATTTAGGCTGGATGGTTGAACCAATGACCAAATTGATTTTATAATTTTCATTTTGTTTTTGGCTAAAATATAAAACCCTCCCTTGAAGTTTCTGACAATCATAAAAACCTCCCGTGAGGTTTCACTTTAATAAAAATCTCCCTTGAATTTTTAGAAAACCCAACAAATACTCCCTTTTATTGCTGACCCAAAGAAAAAAAATAGTCAAGTTACAAAAATTGCCCCTAATTAATCGTTAGAGCATCTTCACCAGATTTTAAAATGCAAAAATGCCCTTCACTTGAGTTTTGCCCCACATATCTTTTGTTCGCAACCCTCGTCAGAAGGCCTTTCCTTTCAGCTCTGGATCACTACGTAGTGGAGCCTCCAATAAAGGGAGAGTAGGTGGAGGAAGTGGAGAGAGAAAACTCAACCCAGCAAACGCTCTAAGACCTGCACCACTGCTCCTTTGATACAAAGTTGATTGCAGGTGTGAAAATCTTATTTTCTACAAAAACCCATACAATCCCAATGAAGAAAAGAGTGAATAGAGATAAAAGAAGCACAAGGGCCCAATTGAGTTTTTCCTAAGTTCTGAATCACGATATGGAACAAGAGAAAAAAAAACGAGAGATTTTGATTGGAAAGCACAAGATAAAAAYAACAAAACCAACTGGGTATTTTTTTTCTCTGTTCGGCTGAATTCTAATAGAGTTGCAATGAGATATTGATCATACGATGAGAMAGAGCTTTGTAAAGTTTAACCCTCTTTTCTCTTGGCGGGATTTGTTTTAGTGCAGGAAATGGAGATGTGGGATCTCTCTTCTAAACTTGATATATGGGAGATTGAAAGATAAGACAGAGGACATCAATGGGTGATTCATGTTGAAGTTACTTTTATGGTTATTTTAGTAAAATTTTATATGAAATCATATAAAAGGGTATTTTGAAAAAACTAATGTATAAGTCAAACGTTTTTCGTCTGGTCAATGAGGGAAGGGAGGTGTGTGTTGGGCTTTCCAAAAGTTCAGGGGAAATTTTGTTAAAGTGAAATTTTATGGGAGGTTTTTATAATTATCAAAAATTTCAGGGGAGATTTTTATATTTTATCCATTGTTTTTTAAAACACCCAACAACACATGTGGGCCCTATCTCCTTAAATGCATAAAAGAGTTAAAAACCTTAGAGGCATGTTTGGAACCGTTTAGTTAATTGAAAAAACGGTGCCAGATCAGCACCATATCAGCATCTGGGAAGATAAATGTTTTTTTGGCTCAAAAAATACTGTTTGGTGTATGCGTTTATTAAGGGTATGTTTCGAACCGTTTATGTTTATTGAAAAAACGGCACCAGATCAGCGCCATGGGAAGATTAAAGTTTTTTGGCTCAAAAAATACTATTTGGTGCACGCGTTTATTAAAAAAACACCGATAAACGTTTATTCATTTATTTGCATTGGTTTTCGTGCATATAGCTATTGTTCTCGCTTCCCCCGTTGGGCGTTTGATCTGGTGCAACCCGGATCTACCATTCTAAAGGTGCATCTTCTTCCTCACTCGATAATCTAAAGCACCAAAGATAATCTTCTTCCTCACTCTTTCGCCGCCTTAGAGGAGAACACCTGGATCTACCAATCCAGCGACGATCAGAGAGAGGTTTCTTGACCGGAGGGAGGAGCAGCTGCCGCCGGTAAGAAAGTCTTCGCTTTCTCCCTATTTTCTCTCTGACTTTTCTTTGTTTTCTATTTTCTCCTAACATTCAACAATATCTCTGTTTTCTTTGAAGGTTTTAGGAGTGTTGCCGCATCTGAAGGCTTTAGAGAGAGAGGGAGAGGGTGTTTCTCGCCGCCTGTATGTTCTGAGTGTTGCCGCATCTATTTTCGTCAATTATTTTTTATACTTTTCTTCACTCTTCAACATACCAGCTTGAGTATTAATTCTTTCTACAAATTCCTGTTCAAGACCCAAAATATATTATTATATGTTGAGACTTGAGGGAAGAGGGATAAGGTATTTCCTAATTGAATTCCTGTAATTTGTATATACCTTCCACCTAACCAGCAAGTGTTGACGAGCCATCCAATGGCACCGTGCTTCTCCATTTTCTCGGCCAGCATTGCTGCATATTTGGTAGGATGCAGCATGATGAATGCTGCTCCAAAGCAAGCGGAGAATGTCGCTTGTGGCTCCTTTATACCATCCTCTGTTCCGGCCACCTGTTTTTATTTTCAGAAAAAAAAGGCCATCAAAATGCTTCTCCCAGAGTTTACATCGGTACTATTTCACTATATAATTAATTCAACTAGCCAATGGACCCATAATAGCATAGAGCATCCTATGATTACTTAACGAATACCAATCATAATAGTAGTTGATGAGGGGTAATTTGGCACGACCTAGTAAATAAAGGTCACGTGGACGTGATCTGCCTGTAGGATGATAATTCAACAAGGGGAGCCTGATTAGCAGTATGCGGGGTCCGAACGTTTGGTCACCTCGTCATAAAGCCATCTCGACACCTAATCGAGTTCAAGGTCCAGGAACTGAAGTGACACGTAATCAATTCAAGTAGCTTCCCATTAGACTCCAAATATT